GAGTTGTTTTAGTTCCCTGCAGATTCCGGATATTAGTCCTTTGTCAGAGGCATAATGCAAATTTTTCTCCCATTCTGTAAATTGCCTGTTTACCTCATAATCTGTCCACCTTGGTCTCCCAAAGTGCTGGGATTACAGGTGTGAGCCACCGTGCTGGCCTTATACTAACCAGATTTTACATATGTCTTACCATAACCTCAGTTAGAATAAACAAGCTTTCTGAATGCTGAACCTCCTGGAGGTTGTGTAGCAGTATCACTAAATGTGTCACCAAAATGGGCTTGGGTGAAATGTTAGTGACCCTGTTGGACTCTTACCCTATGTGCTTTCAGTTAACTTGATGACAATTGGGTTTGCCTTCTGAAAATAATATATTGCTTCCTGAGAAAGAAAAGAGCAATCCCTTTATGGAGATATTGGAAAATGCTAGTACTCAAGGAGGCACTGGTCTCCTTATGCAAGGAGGGAGCCTGTGATGCTGACCCAGGCATACACCGGGCTGCAATGAGAGTCAGAGGAAGATCCTTTCTAGACTGTGTTCTATAAATTGCTGATGCCACTGTACACTACACAACCAGGTAGGATAGACCCAAGAGGAAGTGCTCCTTGTTCAGGTATCTTTATTTTAGCGAGTGCAGAATAAGATGGGCTAAACCTCGAGAGCAATTCTGAGATACCAAAACAAAGTGGAGTGTGATGCAAATAAAAAGATAACTAGAAACTTGACTGGATTAGAAGACAGGTAGCAAGGCTCAAAGCAGGGAAGGCCATAAATGACAAGAGGACAGTATACCCTAGGATAGATGAACTAGAGAGATATTCTTCTTTAGCATGGCTTCCATGTGGATGTTAATTTATTTTAGGGACTGAGTGACTCTGAGGACATTAGCTATCATTTTTGTTGAGTCTAATCCTACTATCAGTCAATAATGGAGCTATAATTTTCATATAATTAGCCAAATACCTACAAGTGAACAGACCTTGAACTTCCTCTATGTTTCTGAGAGAGGGCTTAAACCTCCAAATGTGACACCCTTGAAGGGTAAATCAAGCTATGGACACTTAAGACACCGGGATGATGATATAGTATTTTGAACATTATAATTTGCCGAATGTCTGTTGAACCACCTGATGCAATGCAACTTGTGCCTCCTCTCTTTCTCTTTTTTTGCACTTTTTCCTCCTTATATTCACCTCTCTTTTTTCTTTTATCCATTGTCCCTTTTTTTCTGATCACCTACATTTTTTCTACCACATAAGCATCATTTCTTTATAAGTCTTCACCCTGTCCCCACTAAAGGTATTTCCCAGATATTTGTTCTTGCAGGGAGGAAGCAGAGACAGTGGGTTCAATTAGAGGTGATGGGGTCACATTTTTTAAAAAGGGCAAGAAAACCCTAGTAGGGAGTCAAAGCATAAACACCCTATATCAGAATTTATGAGTAGCTATTACTAACAGCTTATGAAAATAAGGTCCAAAGGTAGACAGTTTGAGGTTGTTATTTTGCTCTACAGAATCATCAGGGATCTAGGTCCCTTTCACCTTGTGACTGTCCTCATATACAGCTTCTCTTGGCCGCTGAAGCACTGGCCACCAGTTGTGCATTCTAGTCAGCAGAAAGGGCAAAAATACAGACTCTTCTGGCTAAGTCAGCATTTTTCAAGGAGCCTTCTGAGAATGCACAAATTCTTACATCTAGTTAGCCAGAATTTAGTCGCATGACCACACTTTGCTACAAAGGTAACTGGGAAATGTAATATTCATTTCAGGTGCCAGCGTACAAGATAGAAATTGTAATGGTTATTTGATTAAAAAGGAGAGAATACTTACTTAGTAGGCAAACAGTCTCTGCCCTAGTCCCAAATAAAGGTATAACATTCAAGTTCTGAAGTGCAGAAGCCAACCCTTAATAAATGTGTGATGACGATCTATAAATAAATGAATGAATGAGAGAAGGAGTACAAGGAACAGAATCAGAACTAAGAGATTCAATGGTGTTTTAATGAACAGTAGGAAGGTGGGGGTGGGGAGTGGGGATAAAGCAAGAGGGAAAAGAGGAAGTGAGGAACAAGAACAGATACATCTCTGAGTTAGAAGTCCCTAACACATCATGCTTTTTAAAATAATAGCATTAAAAAGCTTTATTTAAAAATGCAGTTTAACTCTATTTTGAAGTGATATCAAAAGATATTTTTATTTTATATATTTATTTTTTGAGAGAGTCTCACTGTTACCCATGCTGGAGTGCAGTGGGGCGATGTGGGCTCACTGCAACCTCTGCCTCCCAGTTTCAAATGATTCTAGTGCCTCAGCCCCTCAAGTAGCTGGAACTACAGATGTGTACCACAATGCCTGGATAATTTTTTGAATTTTTAATAGAGATGGGGTTTCACTATGTTGGCCAGGCTGGTCTCAAACTCCTAACCTCAAGTGATCCGCCCACTACTACTAGAAAAAAACTTATCCCTGCTTCCCTAATTTAAGAATTATTTTTATTTCTTCAAATCATCTATTTAGTGTGATTGATAGATATTTTTTTCAGTGTACTTGGAATTTTATGACTTGGTACATTTTTATTAATCACTCATTTTAAAAATTACTCCATGTTTCTGCATAATCATACTTATTACCTTATGGTCTATATAATAGTTTTAGGTCACTTTAGGCTTCATATATACATACATACGTGTGTGTGTGTCTGTTTGTATGTACATACACACAGTCATGTGTTACTTAACAACAGGGATACATTCTGAGAAATGCATCATTAAGCAATTTCATCATTGTTTGAACATCATAGAATGTACTTACACAAACCTAGATATAATCTACTACACACCTAGGCTATATAGTATGACCTGTTTTCCTAGGCTACAAACCTGCACAGCCTATTACTGTACTGAATACTGTAGGCAGTTTAACAATGGTAATTATCTGTATATCTAAACATATCTAAAAATAGCAAAGGTACAATAAAATATGGTATGAAAGATTTTAAAATAGTATACCTGTATAGGGCAACTGTTATAATCTTATGAGGCTACTGTCTTATATGCAGCCCATTGTTGACCAAAACATTGTTAATCACAGCACATGACCTGTATAGACAGGGCCACTACTATCTCCATTTGGGATACATTTCACAAAAGGTGAAATAGCTGGGTAAAAAGATTGTCATATATGTTTAAGCATTGCTAATAACCACATTTTTGTCTAATGGACACTGTTAACCTTGCAACCAAAGAAATGGCACCTTTAAGATCTACATGTGCCTGGTGCAGTGGCCCACACCTGTAATCCCAACAATTTGGGAGGCCAAAGTGGGTGGATCACCTGAGGTCAGGAGTTTGAGACCAGCCTGGTCAAGATGGTGAAACCCCGCCTCTACTAAAAATACAAAAATTAGTCAGGCGTGGTGGCTGGCACCTGTAATCCAAGCTACTCGGGAGGCTGAGGCAGGAGAATCACTTGAACCTGGGAGGTGGATTTGCAGTGAGCTGAGATCATGCCATTGTGCTTCAGCCTGGGCAAAAAGATCCACATGTAAGGGTACCTGGTTAACTAACCTCTTAAAGCCAAGGGAGCTAGCGAATCAGGAAACCTGGATATAAGTCCTGGGTCTGCTGACCTCAGCAACACACTTTATTTATCTGAGGTCTGGTTGTTTCAACTCTAAAATGAGTGGTTTGCATATTTTTTAAAAAATGAAATACGCATATATTTAAAAATACATAGCAATATATGTACAGTGAAATTAAATATTACAAAGCAAAACCATGCATAAAACCACTACCAAAGTCAAGAAATAGAACTGTTACCAGTGCCCCAGAAGGCCCCAGTTGTACTCCCTGCTAAGCTCTATTCCTTTCCTCTTCCCTGTTGTGACTTTTAACATCAGATATTAGTTTTTCCTGTTATGAGCCTTATATAAATGAAATAATGAAGTATGTGTGTTTTCTCTTCTTTTACTCACTATTCTGTCTTTTACTGTCTTTTACTGTTATGTTTGTGAAGTTTATCAGCATAGTCTACAGCTGTAGTTTATTCATTTTCATTGTTACATAGTATTCGGTTGTCCGAATAAACTTTTTTAATCCATCCTACTGTTAATGGACATTAGGGTTGTTTCCAGTTTAAAGCAATTACCCAAAAATGCTTCTAAGACATGTCATTAGATGCACGCACATATGCACTTCTGGTGGCTGGGTCACAGAATATGCACACATTCAACTTTAGTACATACGCCAGAGTTTTCCACCAGTGTACGCTCTCATGAAAAATATATGAAAGTTCCCACTGTTTCATAATCCTTGCTGAAATTCAGCACTGTGAATCCATTTCCAGCAGGGATTTCAGCATTGAGTTTGTGATATCTCAGAAACACCCAAGGACCTATCATATTGGCAATATGTAAAAGGCGGAAAACATAAAGTTCATCAGGCTGTGTGAAAACAGGCACTCTCACACTTCACTGTTACACCCTACAAAGGTATCTCTCTTATTGTTCATTGCAGCATTATTTGTTAAAGCAAAACATTGGAAGCAACCCAAATATCCACCCCTAAGAGACTGGTTAAAAAAATTATGATACATCTACACAATGAATTATTATGTAGGTGTGAAAAAAAAGAGGACTACTTCTGGAAATAGATTTAGGACATTTCTAGGCTCTTCTGTTAGGTGATAAAGAAAGGCATGAAAGAATGTATATAATCTAACTTATGGGGTCAAAAAGGTAAATACTTTTGTAAGAAAAAAGGGAGGAGGGAAAGGAGAGGATAAATAAATAATGAAACTGGGATATGAGTATAAGGGGTAAAGGGACTAGGGATGGAAGCAGAACTCCTCTATACCTTTTTATATAATGTGGATTTTGAATTAAGTAAATGCTTTGAATTTTCAAAAAAGAATTAAAAAGGGATGAAAGCAAAGCCTGAAATGGAATATAAACAGAAACCAGTGATCCTAACTGTATATCATTTGTAATATAACCATATAGAGAAAAGAAATAATTCAAGTAAGACATTTATCCAGGGAGGACGCCTCCTCAGCTGCTCCGAGTCCCCGGGGCTGTGCTGATGGTAGGGATGCCGACGCTACCGAGGAGCGGGTAGCAGAAACGGAGAGAAACGACGAGGAGCAGTTCGACTGCCAGGAACGGTTCGAGTGCCAGGTGCAGTTGGGAGCTCCAGAGGAGGAGGAGGATGCGGGCCTTGTGGCCGAGGCGGAGGCTGTGGCTGCTGGCTGGATGCTCGATTTCCTCTGCCTCTCTCTTTGCCGAGCTTTCCGCGACGGCCGCTCCGAGGACTTTCGCCAGACCCGCGACAGCGCCGAGGCTATTATTCATGGACTATCCAGTCTAACAGCTTATCAGTTGAGAACTGTATATATATATATGTCAGTTTTTGACAAGAATTGCAGCAGGAAAAAACCTTGATGCACAGTTTGAAAATGATGAACGAATTACACCCTTGAAATCAGCCCTGATGATTTGGGGTTCGATTGAAAAGGAACATGACAAACTTCACGAAGAAATACAGAATTTAATTGAAGTTCAGGCTATAGCTGTTTGTATGGAAAACGGGAACTTTAAAGAAGCAGAGTAAGTCTTTGAAAGAATATTTGGTGATCCAAATTCTTACGCGCCTTTAAAAAGGAAATTGCTTATGATAATCTCTCAGAAAGATACATACCATTCTGTTTTTCAACACTTCAGTTACAACCACATGATGGGGAAAATTAAGAGTTATGTGAATTATGTGCTAATTGAAAAATCATCAACCTTTCTAAAGAAGGCAGCAGCAAAAGTAGTAGAAAGTAAAAGAGCAAGAACAATAACTTCTCAAGATAAACCTAATGGTAATGATGTTGAAATGGAAACTGAAGCTAATTTGGATACAAGAAAAAGTGTTAGTGACAAACAGTCTGCGGTAACTGAATCCTCAGAGGGTACAGTATCCTTATTGAGGTCTCACAAGAATCTTCTCTTATCTAACTTGAAGCATGGAACCCAGCAACAAGAACTTAGTAAAGAAAGAAGAGTAGGAACTCTTCAAAGTGCAAAAAAGAAAAAAGAAAGCAGAAGAGCCACTGAAAGTAGAATACCTGTTTCAGAAAGTCAACCGGTGACTCCTGAAAAACATCGAGCTAGAAAAAGACAGGCATGGCTTTGGGAAGAAGACAAGAATTTGAGATCTGGCGTGAGGAAATTTGGAGAGGGAAACTGGTCTAAAATACTGTTGCATTATAAATTCAACAACCGGACAAGTGTCATGTTAAAAGACAGATGGAGGACCATGAAGAAACTAAAACTCATTTGCTCAGACAGTGAAGACTGATTGCGTTTCTAAAAGCTTGATGAAAGGACAGTTAAGTACATGTAGATCACTACATTTTGTTTGAAACTTGCATCATTGATGTATTTTAAAACTTTTGTTTAAAGCATTACAGTATTTTTCTGTGACCATCGATATAAAGGTTTGTGCTCTAAGAATTAAAGTATATGCTATCATTGTGTTCTTTAAGAACCTTTTGATAAACTGTAAATTTGTTGAACCCTGCCACATTTAGTATCCCCACCTCCAAATCCTATTCCAGTGAAAAAATTAAAAGCTGATCTGAAAAAAATATTTTAATTAACCTATTTTGTGTCTGTAGGCTGACCTCAACCCTGTAACGTAACCCATTAAAATGAATTTTTTAGATAATTGAATAATAATAGTCCTTTGATATGAGATAGTGACTTAGTTTATGGCCTTAATATACTGCTTAATTAATTAAGACATTCATTAATAGAATGATAAATGTACAAAGTAACCTATAAGTATGACATACGTTTGCTTTCAGTGGCTTCATGTAAAGAAAAAAACTTGAAAACAGTAATACCCAAGAACACATGGGAACAGTAGACACTGGGGAGGTAGGGTGGGGAGCAAGAGCTGAAAACTACCTACTGGGTACTCTGCTGACTACCTGAGTGAGGGGATCACCTGTACCCCAAACCTCAGCATCACAAACCTAGTATACCCAGCTAACAAACCTGCCCATGTGTTCCCTGAATCTAAAATAAAAATTGAAATAATTTTTTTTTAAAAAAGCAAAAGACGGCCAGGTACAGTGAGTCATGCCTGTAGTCCCAGCACTTTGGGAGACCGATGCGGGCGGATCTCAAGGTCAGGAGATTGAGACCATCCTGGCCAACATGGTGAAACCCTGTCTATACTTTAAAGAATAAAAAAAAAAAAACTGGGCATGGTGGCATGCATCTGTAGTCCCAGTTACTTGGGAGGCTGAAGCAGGAGAATCACTTGAACCCAGGAGGCGGAAGTTGCAATGAGCAGAGATCGCACCGCTGCACTCCAGCCTG